AGCACAAGGAAGAATTCAAGATACTAAAGAGCTGAACAGAAGATTCCAAAAGGCTGCTCGGAATGACAAAGCAAAATACTACAATGAAATGTGAAAGCTGAGTCTGTAATAAACCAATTTTCAAAATCGCTAGAGTGTCAATTTTGGGCCAGCACTTGTGTGAGAGAATGTTGCAACGCCCCAAATCTCTGCCAGTCTTCCTGGCTTTTTTCTGCATTCCCATACCCGCTCTACATTCATGCCTCGCGTCTGTCAATTCTCAGATCTAGTTGGTTCTCCCTGCCCAAGAGCAACCTAGATTTGAAAATGGGAACCCTTCTCTACACTCCGTACCCTGGTTTTCTAGGCTTGTTCCCTGTCCTTTCCACTGCTGTGCTCCCCAAGAACCCTCTTGTTTACCTTTCTGTATTTATTGCTTTACCTGTATACTTATCTAGGATATTTAAAACTACACAGGAGCTGTGGATGTTGACATTACAAGATTCAAGTTTAATAGCCCTTAAAGTATCGTCTTTAAAATTGTGGATTTTCTCTTCTTAAAGCCTACCACCAACCTACCATTTTAGCCCAAGTATCTTAGGTGTCTACAGCAGATGTAGGAGTCAATAACCTAGAGATTTCAGAGCCCGCTCTTACTAACTTGCCTCATAAAAAATGGAGAGAATACGGAAACGGCTGAGGAATCAGATTTGGGGCCGTGTCCAAAGTTGGCTGTTTTGACAAATATGATCTTTATCAAATTACTTCCTCTGAGACCACAGGCATGCCAGTGTTTTCAAGGCCCACAATCTACCGAAATAGCGACAAACCTATTTCTTAAAAAAATGGCTAAAACATTTTCAAATCATGATCCAAAAAAAGTTCAAATCTCGTTTGAGTCATAACCAAATACAACTCAGTGACCCTCACCAATACATGAATTTGACAAGAAAGGACCCAGCAATCTACCTGCTGAACCAATTCTTGACATTACCTGTACCTCTTCAGTTTCAGTTCTTAAAAGTTGTTTCTAAGAATTCGTTTTAAAGTCAGAGTCCATAGAGTGTTAATACCCTAACTTTGGAAAACTCTCCTGAGACTAAGTATAATTTATTAAGTCATAATGTACCAAATTAATTCCTCCTTCTATACTCAATGCTCCTGTATATTGCCAGCAAGTTGAGATGCATTGCTGACCCTCCAATGGGTTTTCAGAAGGTGTAAATCACCTTTCACCCAAAGAACAGCTGGTAGATTCAAACTGCTTGCCTTTGGGTTGGTGGTGCAAATCCTTACCCCTAGACCACCAGTAGTCCTTCTGTACTTAAAACAGCTGAGTACATATTTCTAAAAAAAATGACTGAAAGTCTATAGCACTTTCAAGTCATGATCCCAAGAAGGTTCAAATCTTGTTACTGGTAGGTGTTATCAACTACAACTCGAAGAGACCTCATAAACAACAGGTCAAAACTTTGCCTTATCTTATGCCATCCTGACCATTTCAACTGTGAAGCCCACTGTACTAATAATGTTTCTTAAATTGTTCTTCTTATATAGGTTCCCATTCTATGTTTCATTTGCAATTTCTCTGATGAAATTACAGCCTAATTTTCTCTAGATTTTGCTGTTTACATTCTCACTGTGCTTTTTAACAAACGTGTTAATTTTTTTTTAGAATTTTTTGTGTGTTACCATCAAGTTGGATCTGACTGGTACAGAAGATTGCCCCTCCTTCTCCAGAAGAGCATCTGGTGGATTTGAACTGCAAGCCTCTGGGATTGCAGTGCAGCTTCTTGCCACTAGGCCACCAGAGCTCCCTTAGATTCATTTTTGAGGTAACACTTCCCTAAGACATTAGTGTTTAAAAGTAATTAAGCATTTTACTGCATAGTGCCAAAGATGAGATAAATAATGTATACTGCATTGAAACAGATGAGGGAGAAAACTTAAAAAGGGATATGTGACTAGGTATTACTATCATGACAGGAGTCCAGAACAAAGGCTGCACAGTAGAGTGGACCTGGTGGGAGGGACTGTAAAACAATTAAAGAATTTTTCTTTTACTTTTCAAAGGGAAGAGTGTAAGGGGGGGGAGGGGTAGGCAGGAACAAAAGTGCAACAATGAATGAATGGAAATCCAAAGTTTGACCCAGCAATTCCTCTACTAGGAATATACCCTTAAGAAATCATAACTGCCACCCAGGCAGATATATGCACACCCATATTTACTGCAGCTTTGTTCACAACAGCGAAGGGTTGAAAACAACCATCAACAAACAAATGGATAGAGCTCTGGTATATTTACACAATGGAATACTACGCTGCATTGAAAAAAAAGGAACTCATGCAATATTATTCAAAATGGGTGACCCTGGAGGACATTATGTTGAGTGAAATATCTCAGCACAAAAGGACAAATACTGCATTGCATAGTATCATTGTTGTATTAACGGGACTGACATCAGGGTTGGGGTGAAACTGAGAAAAATTGGATAAATTATGTATACTGCATTGAAACAGATGAGGAAGAGAACAGTTTAAAAGCAATATATGATTGGGTATTATGGTTATGAAAAGAGTTCAGGATGAAGGTTGAAGAGTAGAGTGTACTGGGTGGGGGGGATTGTATACCAATGGAAGACTTTTTCTTTTACATCTCAAGAGAAGAGAAAACTGGGAGGGAGTGGTGGACGGAGAAAATGCAACAATGAATGAATGGAAATCCAAAATCTGTAAACATTCATTAAAATAATAAAAATTTTTTTTAAAAATTCAGAAGAGTTCACACAGATCTTCACATAATGAGTCTCATAAAAATGGGTTTATCACATATTTATTAAAGACATCATTTATGGTTTGTAAAAAAGATTGCCCTGATATACACAAATATTTGATAATGTGAATTAAAACACTACCCTCAACCCCCTCAGGTCCAAATCAGCATTCAACCTAGATTGGCTTGATCTTGAAATGTAATCCAATAAGACTGAATACCAAACACTTCAGGTCCTGGACAAGGTAGTAAAATACTCGTAAGCCTTCTGGATCCCTAAAACACAAGAGGTAAAATGTTTAAAGAGCTGTGAAAAGTAACAGAAAACACCCTTTAATAAACCTGATTATGTCCAAAGTTTCTCATCATAAAGGCAAGTGCAGCATTAAAACTTTGAAAACAATCGAAGTGTCCAAAAAGGAAGAGATAATATATTAAAATGGAAATGAGGTTAATTTAAACATTTTTTTTAATGTGGAAATGTTTATAATATAGGCAGTGGGAAAAAATCCATAAATAACAATGATCTCAATTATATTCTAGGTACTTAAAAACCTATTTTTTTTTTTTTAGCAGACAGTGGATTAAGTTTATTCTTATGTACAGAAGAGTCAGTGTGTACAAAAAAACCTATTTAATGCACAGAAAATTAATAGAAATAGTTCAACATATTAATAGTAGTTGTCTAACTGATAAAATTATGAACAACTGTTTCTCCTTTTTCTTTTCTATAATGAGCACGTATCTTAAAACTTAGGGGAAATATTTTTTAGAGAATTAATGCTAGTAAGCAGCACCAAGATATTGGGATCACTGGGTTTCTTAGTAAACAAGGAAGCTATCACAGGAAGATTACTGTGCCCAACTTGAAGTAAGCTCTCTCTAATCCTAAATCCTCAAAGACTACAAAATGAGCCAAAGAGATTATCAAAGTCCAGGGATTCTTTGAAGCACAGAGTCCTGTTTCAGCTTTTTAACAGGACTAAAGAGCTGTCATGGAGGAAGCTGTTGAGACTAGGTGACTACAGTTATTCTTGAGCACTGGCATATATCTGCATCTGGCCAGATTCTTACCCACTGTGGCTGATCTATGCATTACTCTGTGTATATAGAAGTAAAAAGCACTTAGTGGCAATGATTAAATAAAAAACTAAAAGCAACATGTTCAAGTCCTTGAAAATACCCTGGAGTCCTTCTCTGAGTGAGAAGACAGAGCTGTCTTTGCACTCTGCAGATATTCCCATAAAGTTCCTAGTTTGACTAAAGGTTTCCCATCAGTCTACTCCAAAACAGGTATAATACATTTAAGAATCATGCACACTTACTTGGACTGATTAACATCAATAAGGGAACCAATTTTTGATGTTGTGAAAGAAATATGTTCATCTCCAATGACAATTTCAAGCTCCTAGAAACATTTAAAAAATAAAGTTCACACAGAATTAAGACTTTTCATCAAGCACAAAGGGTTCAAAACCTGTCACAGAACAGAAACTATTCAGAGAGCTATATAAATGAAGCCAGTTCACTGCAACAGATTTAATGAGCACTAAACTATGAAGGGCACTGTTATGTGCCATTGACTGAGTACAAACTCATAGCTGACTCTCCAGCACATCTTTAGAGGGTGTAAATCACAAGGGAGGAGACTGTTCATCTTCCTTTCCCAGGCAACTAACAGGTGGATTTGAACCACCTGCTTTTTGGGTTGGCAGGGCCAACGCCTGACCGCTCAATACAGGACACTAGTAAAAGAGAAATTAAATAGTTTTAAGTCCTTTCAGACTCTCAGAGAAAATTGTGTCCATAAGACTCCATCATTTCTGAAATTTGGGAGCATTTATAGAGTGGTTTTAATAAGCATTTTCATTATTAGCATTGTCTGCCTTGGAATGAGATGAACAGATCTGTGTTTTGAAAATACCAAAGAATCTCTATATTTAGCCAACATGGGACAAGAAAATAAAACACTGTACACCTGCTGTTCCATTCTCCTTCCTGCATCCCTAGAGGTTAACAAAATCACCAATACCCTGAAATGGAGTATATTCTTTCCATTCATGTTTTTATGAATACTGTAATATAGTTAGGGGTTTTCTTGGGGTGGGGAGTAAATGGTGTTATAGGTTTTGATTTTTTTAATTCAGTAATGGTTTTGGGACTTACTATGTTGAGTTATCCCTTGGAGAGGGACATCATGCTTGGGAGGGTGGAGGGACAGCGCAGGAGGGGAAGGACCTCTATGAGGTGGATTGATTCAGTGACTGGGATAATTGGCATGGGAGTGTCAGAGGCAGTGCGATTGGCACAGGACAGAGCAGAGTTTAGGGCTGTTGTACATAAGGTCGCTATGAGTCGCAAGAGACTCAACGGCACATAACAACAACAATGTTGAATTATACAGATCCAGTTAATCAATTTTTAAATGTTTTAAGAATAATCCAGTTCCTTATTGTAGCAGACTTAAGTTCCTAATTTGTGTTACAACACAGTGGCAATAACATTGCTTTATGCAGCCCTTTTTACTTATGTGTAAATGTCTCTAGGAAAAGTACTAGAAGTATCAGGTAACCATTCTTAGTTCTGCTAGATATTATCAAGGGAATTCTGATGGTGTAGATCAGGAGGAGTCGTGCTGCTAACCCAAAGGCAGCACCTCTCTGGCTGTTCGAATACAGCACTGGCTTCATGAGGGAAAGATGAGAAATCTTCCTCATGTACAACTTACAGCCTCCAGAAACCTGCTGGAGGGTCAGCCAAGAGCTGGTTCCAGCTTGACTGCAATGAGTGATTAAGATTTCATGAAATCATTCTCTATAGGGGTATACTGATTTTATTCTTACCAGTAGTATGTTGGTAGGGACCATCCAGGTAACTCTGACTCATTCTGACCCTATATAAATCCAAACTCCGTCTGGTCCTGTGCCATCCTCACAAGCTCTGCTGTCATTAAGTATGTTGTGGTCACAGTGTCAACCTATCTCCTTCAGACATGGACCAATTATTTCTCCTTTTGAGTTATGTCACATGAACAAACGAAGGCATTATATCTCCCCTTTTCTCATATTTTTTTAACACCTACCATAATTTCTGCCATTTTAATGGGCCTGGCACATAGACATTTTTTACAAGTGTTTGAAAGGTGGATTCAACCTCATGTGCACAGCATCTTTCATTTGTAAGGTTACTGTACAAGAAGTATTGCTAAACCACTCACCTGCCGGCCTACTCGGTCAGGAGGAGGCCATAAGGCATCATCCTCTTTGGTAATTTCACTGTCATCAATTATCCTCTTCAGTTCTTCCATCACACTTTTATGAACATAAGCCTGAAAGCAAGTTAAAAACAGAACTGAAAACATATCCCTGAATAGACCCTAAGTAGTCAGAGACGGCTGATAAAAACACGAGTTCATGGAAACTTGTTTCTGGCACCTCCATCTGTGGGATGGCCCCTCAGCTTGAACATGGACAGCATGCTGGAGAAGGGCAGGGTCACAAGTGCCCATCTAGGTGCTAATACCTTTTGGCACATCCTAGTCACACTAACTTGTTGTCACATACTCAACTTGCACCTGAATCCAAAATAGAAGATCTAGATAATCGTTAAATACCTGTGGATGCCCCACATGCTGGTTCTTTTCTTTTTTTTAACTTGTTGTGTGCTGTTGAATTGGATCCAATTGGCACAGGAGGAGAGTGTCCTTCCTTCTCCAGCAGAGCACCTGATGGATTCGAACCATGCAACCACTAGACCACTAGAGAGCCTTATATCCTGGTTATTTTTAATGAGACAACTTGCTTCTGACAAACAGTCATCATGTTATTTAAAATCAATTTTGTGTATTAACCTACATTTCTAAGAAAATAAGAATGCTGACATGGGTAGACAGTCATAAAATGACTTCTAATTAAGTAAGAAACCTGTCTGACTGCTAACTGAAAGGCTGGCGGTTAGCATCAACCAGCTGTTCCAGGAGAGGAAGGCAGGTAGGCTGCTCCCGTAAAGATTTACAGTCTCAGGTCTCAATGTAAGGTAATGATGAGTTGGAATTCACTCAACTGCAGTGGGAGGGACAATTAAATATAACAGTATGAAAATATAAATGAGTGTAAAGACATTTTCAAATATGACAAGTGGTTAAAAAGAAAAGTGACTTGCTAAATAAACCTTAAACGTGTAGTGGAGATCACGACAAAATGAAATATATGGACTTGAAAGATGGAACAGGTAGGCATACATTTGAATTTACTGAGACATTCACACTTTATCCCTTACGAGGAGGAGTAACTTTGAACAAGTCCCCTAGTTAATATCCAAGCTTTCATGTTTCCTATCTGTAAAGGGAATGTCTACCACCCAGGCTGCTAAACTGTGGTTTCTCGCACGTTGCTAAAAGCTATGCTGTAAGTATTTAAAATACCAGTAAGATCTTTAAGTTGACTTCCAGAGCAAGAAACTAAAAAGAAATGATGATTTACTTCCAAAAATTAGCTAATAAAAAATATGTTAAGTCACAATAGAGCACTGACTGGCTTGTGAGCTCTGAATTTGTCATCAGACAGCATCAAACGCTAGAAGAGGGTGTTATGTCTAGTGAAATAACAGGCCAATGGAGACCACTTGCGAGATGGACTGGCACAACAGTCACATGGACTTGAATACTATGAAAAAAAGCAAGACAGCTTCTATTTCTTCCTATTGTACATAAAATTGCCCTGAGCTGGCATCAGCTTGACATATGGTATCACACTCATCACAAAAGTTTACTAGAAGTGTTGAATAAGATCATGTGTAAGATACCAAGTGCAAGGCCTAGCATCTAACATACATCCATATTCTGCCATGCTTCCTTTTCCCAAAGAAATAAACCAAACGCTTCAAATAAGCATATTTAATTTTAAGAGGGCACTAAGAAGTTGTGAGGAGGGCAAAGTTTATTAACCTTGTTTCTGTGGATGAATAAAGACTTAGTTAGCTATTTCAGCCAAAGGAACTTCCCCAAGATCAGTAAGAAGCAGATTCAGGGTTCAAGTGAAACCTTCTAGATTCCAAATGTTTCACTACGCTATTCACCACTGTGAAAGGAAACATAAACTAAAAGATTTGTTGTTGCTGTTATGTGCCGTCGAGTCGCCTGCGACTCATAGCGACCCTATGTACAACAGCCCTAAACTCCACTCTGTCCTGTGGCAATCGCACTGTCTCTGACACTCCCATCCCAATTATCCCAGTCACTGAATCAATCCACCTCATAGAGGGCCTTCCTCTCCTGCGCCGTC